AAGCTCCATTCCATAGCTATTCATATATCATAGTCTTTGGACCAACATGGTAAATGTGTCATCTAGGCATCCCCTGGGTTGTGATGGGTCTTGGGTCCAAGAGTAACATACGCCCCATTCAATCTAATACTAAGTGATGTGAGTAAGGGCTGAAAAGCTGAAGAATGATTGCTCGTCATGCGGGCAGGTCATCCATGTCATGAGATGGAAAATCAAAGTCTGAGGAGAGATGTCCCGGCGGCCGTTGGTGGCTGTTTCGAGCTTAGGACCGAGCTCATGCTCTGGGCCCTTCTCCACCAGGCGTGTCTGACCTGTGTGCTAGTAAGTCACGCGAAGCGCTTGCTGAAAGCCAGCCACCTGAGTCTCACGGTAGGCAGTTGCCAGCTTTCTGGTGGCTGTTCATCCCAACGATAGCCCAAATTAAGCTAGGCCAAAAGCAAACTGCGACACGCAACCCGGACATTCGCGTCCAGTGAGGGGAGGGCGCGCGAGTCTTCAGCTCAACGCCGCGAAGCATCGAAGATCTTAACGTAGAATCAGCCAACAAAACACTGGCAGGGATCGGGGAAAAGAACCTTCGGTCGACCAGGACTCGGGGCGGCGCACCTATCAGCGAACCCACCATGAACATGTGGATGAGCAGTGGCTCACATGATTTGAACTGGGCTATCCCGAGAAAGCGCGGTAAATGGGCGCAACGTAAAATTGTATGAGCTGTTCCACCAAGTGCTTCTTGAACAAATGCGGAAACGATACACAAGTACTGGTCGACATATAGGTTATTTGGCTTGCCAACTGAATTTAATTACTGGGTCGCGAAGGAACCTTAATTTAGCTTCTTTAAACTTTAAGCTTGATGGTTTACCCGGCCTGTGACCAGGCGGTGGAATATTTTCTGGGGGGTATATGTTAGTCAGGGTCCAACGGTTAGCAAAGTTGTCGCATTTCTTGCGCTACATTTATAAATATAATGTATGGTGCCACACTCATATGAAAGGGTTCGGGCGCAGCACGTTTTGTGAAGAGTCCAAATCACCACCCGACGCCGGGAATGAATGTGGAACAAAGGAAACGAACATACTTCCATCCCTTCCGCCTGAAATCCCAAGATACTGATTCATTTATGAGATAAGTCTTTTTGTTGGAGTTCCTTTACGTCTATGTTTTTGGGAAGATGGAATCGCTTTCATGACACTACCCCGCCGTGCAAGGCGACTGGGCAGCATCTTGATAGATCGATGCCTCTCTTTGAAACTATGGACCACAGTTCATGGTTCGGTTTGAGCTGTCTAAACCGATCCCAAAAGGTGCTAAGGATAGCACGCTCCCCTGCAGGATCAGGAGATTTCAAACCACATACCATAAACCCAGGGTTGTAATCAACCAGGAATCGGCGCCAGGATCTCAGTGAGATCGCATCCAAATCTCCGCCGTAGCTTATCCCTGGCGTCTTGGGTAGAGTTGCAATCTTGACTGGAAGAAGCAACTCGAATTTTCTAGCGACCACGTTCACATCACGTTCACTGTGCAGATCACTGCAGGGACTGAGTTCTGTAAGTCCTTCGCTTTTGCTCGCCGACCCTTCCCCAGTATCACCGACAACTCCCTGCGCCGTGCAAATGGCAGCTCAGCAGCTAGTGGCCTTAGCAAACGAAGGAATGAGACGCAGGTATATTGGTCATATGGGGGAAATTCAGAGCAGGTGATGGTGAATCGTGACTGATGGCCTATATAAGCCAATGTGTCTCACTAAACATGAACGATGCAAAACAAACCGCCAGCACAAACTTTCACCGACAAGATCTTTCCACATGCAATGTATATAACACAGCCTTTCACAGAACCAAGCGCGCGGAACAAGCCAAGATCGAGAATATTGTCGAGACGTTTCAGCAGTTCACCTATTTCGTCGTTGGTTTCTCGCACCACCGCATGGTGACAGAAAAACTGTTGCAAACGTGTTTATAGACATCAGTTCTTGGCTTCATCGGAGACTTGTGCTCAAGTGGCTGGCTTGAATGTAACCGATCTATATACAAAATACACCATAAATACACCCTCCGATGCTGCGTTCACTGTGTCTCCACCAAGCCGATATTTTTGGACCACGGTCTACCTTGGCCTCGTGAGGCAGTCCCACTGCAGGTATACTTGCTCATTTATAGACGGGCGCTTTGCAAAGATGCTGAACCTTTAAGCCGCACAAATTAAGGTGTTGCAACTCCAACAAGATATTTTTATATATTTTCTATCAATGTGGCTTCCAGCATGGCCGGTCCATAGGGTTCTCGCGAAGCAATTAGCGCGATCATGTTTGTCACTTTTTCCACTGCGTGTTTGTAGCTTCGCCCCAACAACAGCGCTGGCAAGATGCGGAGGCCATTGAACTCCTTCTCCAACTCCCGTGTATCAAAACGTGGAACTTGAGTGAACTCCCGTTTCAATAAGTGCGTAGTGAAGGGTTCTCGTTCAACTTTGGAAGTCCGAGGGTGGAGCGTTGTCCGCACGACCTTGCTTTCGTGTTCAGAAAAACGTCCGCAGCCCCTTTTGCCGGCTCGAATGTCAAACGAAATGTCAAAAAGGTGAAATCGCGTAGAAACCTAACATGTTGAAGTGTGGAGGTTGATTTTGCTGCGCCGGTGAACCGTTTCTTGAGATCAGCATTCTGCGGCGCTGGTGATTCTGACGGATTTGGGTGAAGCAACAAGCTGAAATTGTTCCAATCCTCTAGCGCGGTACAAATTTTGCTAAAGATGCCATGGTGTTGCATACTCATTGTTCTTGGCAGGGGCAGTGCCTTGTGCGTGTTGGAGGTGCTGAGGTGCAGATTACGGGGAATCGTGAAGTTGCGACGTTTGGTGCAAATGAACGTCGCTGTGCCGTTGGATTGGCGTGTCAAGGGCTGCTCGTTAGAGGGCTTTGGATTGCGAAACTACGTGGCAGGGCTGCGCGACGCGTTTGCTTTGATGAGGCTTCCCTCTTCACTTTTATGGAGGAAGTTTTGCACTCTTGACGCATCACTTTTGGAGGAGGTCACGTGCGAAATGCTCTTTTGGAGGAAGGACCGTACGAAGTGCTGTTTTTGACCTGCAAGAGTGTTGCGCAACAAAGAGTGTGGGACAAAATTGTCAAACCAAATTGTCGTACAAAGTTGGCCTACAAGAGTACCCTAGAAGAGTGTCACCCCAAAATGTCCGTCAAAAGTATCAGACAAGGTTTGGTCGCTTGCGTTTTCGTATGTGTGTAAATTCTCGGCTCGTGGGTTACATCTTGCTTTGTTCCAGCAAGTTGGGGACTCTTCCCAATGTCATGTGACATTTTTTGCAATAACGATCAGAAACAATTTTGGCTCAGCCGTTCTTTCCAATCATGCTGGAACCACTCTTGCCGCATGAGCTGCCAGATGATGCGGTCTATCGGAACTTGCTGCTGAACCACAGTTCTACAAAGGCGTGGGCCGGGTGCAACAAAGGGCAAACGCAAACATGAACCAGTGTTTTTACAGGCGAAAGACAAAGTCGTCACTTTTTTTGAGTGATTACTACCCTGCCTTGGGGGAAGGCTTTGCGGAAAGTCGTCTCTTTTTCCCAAGCGCAAGCGAACTCTGTTGGTTGGAAAGGGGCCTACTTTTAGGTTGTATGCTGGGGCTCTCATCGAAAGGTGTTTTAATAATGCCTGCTGAAGCAATGAATTTCTTATTCTGTATGTCCTGCAAGCACATGCGAGACAAGTACAGCAAGCAACACGGTCATTTCCAGGCTTGCCAGCGCAGTTCGCGATGGAACACCTGTGGACTTGGACAGCTTACGCCAAGATAGCGGGAGCTACTGGGAGAGATACTGGGAGAGCTGCTGCTGCTGGTCTGCTGCTGCTTTGCTGCTGCTGCTGCTGCT